TTGTTGTTATTGAGTTGTATGAGTTCTTTGTATATTTTTGGATATTAGGCCCTTATCGGAGGCATTGCTTGCAAATACATTTTCCCATTCAGATGGTTGTCTCTTTACCTTGTTGACGATTTCTTTTGCTGAGCAGAAGCTTTTTAGTTTGATGTAGTCTCATTCATTCATTTTAGCTTTTACTTCCCTTGCTTTTGAGGTCAAATTCATAAAATCCTCTTTAAGTCCAAGATCCTTGAGTTTAGTTCCTGTGTTTTCTTCTTTGCATTTTATTGTTTCAGTTCTTATATTCAGGTCCTTAATCCATTTTGAGTTAATTTTGGTGTGTGGTGATAGACAACAGTCTAGTTTCATTCTTTTGCAAGTGGCATTCCAGTTTTCCCAGCACCATTTATTGAAGAGGCTTTCTTTTCTCCACTGTATGTTTTTGGCTTCTTTGTCAAAAATTATTTGCCCATATAAATATGGGTTTACTTCTGGACTCTCGATTCTGTTCCACTGGTCCGTGTGTCTGTTTTGCTGCCAATATCATGCCATTTTGCTTACTGTCGCTTTGTAGTATAATTTAAAGTTAGGCAGAGTGATGCCTCCAGCCTCGTTCTTTTTTCTCAGGATGGCTTTGGCAATTCAGGCTCTTCTGTGCTTTTATACAAATCTGATGATTTTTTGTTCTATTTCTTTAAAAAATGCTGATGAAATTTTGATGGGGATTGCATCTGTATAATGCTTTAGGTAATATGGTCATTTTAACTATGTTGATTCTTCCAGTCCAAGAACACAGAATATCTTTCCATTTCTTTGTATCTTCTTCAATTTCTCTTAATAGGGTCTTATAGTTTTCATTATATAGGTCCTTCACTTGTTTCGTTAAATTTATTCCTAAAATTCCTATAGGAATTTTATTCTTTTCGTTGCAATTGCAGAAGGAATTATTTTTTCCACTTCATTATTAGAGTATAGGAACGCTATGGATTTTCAAACATTGACTTTGAATCCAGAAACTTTATTTGCTTATTGTTTCTAGCAGTGTTCTTGTGGAGCCTTTAGAGTTTTCTATATAGAGAATCATGTCATACAAATAGTGACTGTTGACTTCTTCGTTTCCTATTTGGATGTCTTTTATATCTTTCTCTTGTCTGATCTCATTCACTAGGACCTCCAATGTTATACTGAGTAACAGTGGTGATTGTGGACAGCCTTGCCTTGTTCCTGATCTTAGAGGGAAGTTTTTTAGTTTCTCACCATTAAGTATAATGTTGGCTGAGAGTTTGTCATATATGGCCTTTATTATGTTGAGGTACTTTCCTTTTATACTGGTTTTGTTAAGTGTTTTGATCGTAAATGGATGCTGTATCTTATCGAAGGCTTTTCCTGAATCTATGGATATGATCATGATACTTTTTATTTAAAAATTTTTAAATTTGTTTATGTGGTGTGTACATTAATTGATTTGCATATGTTGAACCATTCCTGTGCCTCTGGGATGAAGCCCACTTGATCGTGGTGTATAATCTTTTAATATGTTACTGTATTCAGTTTGCT